TGGGGTTTTGTGTGTGGGGTTTTGGGGGTTTGTGTGGGGTGTGTGTGTGGTGTGTGGTGGTGTGTGTTGAACTTACTTTATGTGGTTGCAGGGGTCTAGTCACAGCTTCTGTCTCCGCCTCTTTGCTAGTTGCTACTAGGTCAACTTTCTCCCTGCTCCAAGAGCCTTATCGTACCTCTTCTTAAAGCTATGTATGGATCCTGCATCCACTGCTTCACTCTCCAGATTGTTACACTTCCTGACAACTCTAAGGCTGAAGAAATACTTCCTAACATACCTATAAGTCATCTGAGTTTTCAACTTCCAGTTGTGTCCTCTTGTTCCTGTGTCCCATCTGAAATATTCTGGCCCAGTTCACCTTGTCAGTTCCTGTAAGAATTTTATACATCGTTATCATATCCCCTATTCCTCGTGTGCTCCAGTGTAATCAGGTTGGGTTCCCTTAACACCTCCTCACAGGATATACCCCTTGCCTCCAGGAGACTAGTTTTATTGCAAACTTTTGCACTTTCTCTGATTTCTTGACGTGCTTGACCAGGTGTGGGTTTAATACAGATGCTGCGAGAGAGAGAGAGAGAGAGAGAGAGAGAGAGAGAGAGAGAGAGAGAGAGAGAGAGAGAGAGAGAGAGAGAGAGAGAGAGAGAGAGAGGGAGAGAGAGAGAGAGAGCAAGCTGAGTGGTCTGTTGGATAGTTAATAAGGTTTAAAGCCTATCGACTAAACGAGTCATTTTAACGTTGCATTTCACGTTTTCGCCACCAGTCGAGAACACGTTAATCCGTTAAGTAAAGATGAAAACAAACTGCCAACAGTAGTTAACTGAGGGCGGTATATACACCACATTGACCCCACTGACTTTATATTTTTTTAAGGCTGGAAGCGCTATTAATCAATGATAACCCAAGAAAGCCAGCAGAGTGGCTTACCTCAGCTGGGTTCCAGTGATCGTTTTCTAGGAAGTGACCTTCCACAACTGGCGAAATCCCAGGTACCTACAATCTCAGGTACCTACTTACTGGCAAAGTTTACATTTCGTTTGGTCTACATCTGGTGGTGGTGATTTAAACTATTCTGGAGAAATGCCCTGACTTTGGTAGCTGTAGATAATGCATTACCGTGTGTGTGTGTGTGTGTGTGTGTACTCACCTATTTGTGGTTGCAGGGGTCGATTCACAGCTCCTGGCCCCGCCTCTTCGCTGATTGCTACTAGGTCCTCTCTCTCCCTGCCCCATGAGTTCTATCATACCTCGCCTTAAAACTATGTATGGTTCCTGCCTCCACCACATCACTTTCTAGGCTATTCCATGGCCTGACTACTCTATGACTGAAGAAATACTTCCTAACATCCCTTTGATTCATCTGAGTCTTCAACTTCCAATTGTGACCTCTTGTGTCTGTGTCCCATCTCTGGAACATCCCGTCTTTGTCCACCTCGTCTATTCCGCGCAGTATTTTATATGTCGTTATCATGTCTCCCCTGACTCTCCTGGAAAATGGATGTCAGGAGTGGGATTCGAACCCACGCCCGGAAGACCGGACTGCGACCTGAACGCAGCGCCTTGGACCGCTCGGCCATCCTGACTCTGCTCGGTCATCCTGTACTCACCTAATTGTGGTTGCAGGGGTGTGTGTGTGTGTGTGTGTGTGTGTGTGTGTGTGTGTGTGTGTGTGTGTGTGTGTGTGTGTGTGTGTGTGTGTGTGTGTGTGTGTGTGTGGGTGCTTGTGTGTATGCATATATTTGTACGCTCGTGTGTATATGTCTGCGTGCGCCCTCATGTGTGTATTAGTGCGCGCGCGCATTCGTGTGGGTGTATGATCCACTTAATATTTGTATTTATAACTCATTACAATTGTGACCAGGTGTGGACGTATCAGTGGTTCATTACTTTGTAATTTGTTCATGACTGTAACCATGTATAGGAGTGAGGCTGATTCATTACCTCTGTAACTTGCCATGATTGTGACCAGATCTACCTGGAGTTCATTACCTTTGTAACTAGTTCAGCTATCATAACTTTGGGGTCCAGTCCCTGGACCCATTATGTACCTTTGTAATCTTTTGACTACCGCCACAGGATGGGTATGGGGTGCATAATAAGGATATTAAACTAACCTACTTACTGCTAGGTTAGCAAGGACATTGTCTAAGGTGACTAATACCCAGGTACCTATTTATTGCTAGGTGAAAAGGTGGCAGCAGGTGTAAGTAGACTTGACAATACGTCTCGCTCCCATGCAAGAATCGAACCCGGGCCCATTTGGGTATAAGCCGAATCCCCGCCACCCATCGTCAGACACCAATCGTCTCACCTTCACCTGAGAAAGTGAAGAGAAAGTGGCAGCCTCCACCGCCACTTGCTACGAATCACCCCATGCGGGTTTAGCGCCACGCAAAAAAAAAATCTGACTTATTCTGTCAGCTGTCCATTACCCAATTAACATTTTTGTAATATTCGCGGGAAAGCTCTAAACCCGTAAGAGTCACAGTGAGGAATTATAAATCGAATTTGCATATAATATTTTTTTCTGAAATGGGACATTTCACACAAAAAAAGGACAAATAGAATAAGACAAACGAAAATTTGTGTATGCAATAATTTCGCAAAGATCATTCTGAACCTAACGAAAAAATATATTTCATTGTTTGTTATCAAATTAATGTAAACTTATCTAAAATATATTTAGCTGGATTAGGCGAAATTAAATTAGGTAAGTTTTTTAAGGTTCTTTTGGTACAAAATTATTAATGTTTACGTTAACATAAATGAAAAAAATATATATCTTTAAACGTATAAGAGAAAAGTTTAGAAGAGACTACTTGCTAATTCACCAATTTTTCCTATTCGGCACACGACACCGACACACACACACACACACACACACACACACACCCCCAAAACACACACAACACACACACACACACACACACACACAAACTTACACACACACACACACACACACACACCCCACACACACACACAAACATCACAACATATATATATATATATATATATATTATATTTATATATATATATATATATTTATATTTTATATATAATATATATATATAAAAACAACCATTGTGAAAGAACAGAGAAATTCAAAAAGTTTTCGTGACTACTGACATTATCAAGGAAAAATGTTCCTTGATAATGTCAGTAGTCACGAAAAGTTTGGAATTTCTCTTTTTCTTTCACAAAATGGTTGTTTTGCATATTTTGAAATCACCTGTTTACTGTGACTTATTTGCATATATATATATATAATTATATATTTATATATATATATATATATAATTTATATATATATATTTATATATATTGTGGTGTGGGTGGTGTGTGTTGTGTGTGTGTGTGTGTGTGTGTGTGTGTGTGTGTGTGTGTGTGTGTGTGTGTATTATTTTATTTCAGTACAATAAAAATAACGAAACACGTTTAAAGAAATATTTAGGGTTAAACGTAACGAAAAACACTGAAGCACTCACGAAATGTTCATAGATCTCGTCAGCGATGATGGGCACCTTGTTCCTGCTGGCCACCTGCAGGATGTCCCTCTGGTGCTGAGTACTGAAGACAGAACCACAGGGGTTGGACGGGTTGTTGACCACGATGGCTGCAGTGTTCTCATCAATCATGTCTTCCAGCATCACCAAGTCCGCCTCCCAGTTCTTCTCCGGCTGCCACACACAAATTAGTTAAAAGTGTTAACGTGTAGCCCGCACTTAGGAAGCTTATAGCGAGGTTTCGCTCCGTTTTAGACCATTATCAAGGTGCGTTATTGTCGGGGTATGAGGTATGGGAATACCCACAAGTTGCATTTAATGAAGATACACAAGAAGAGGCTAGAAAACTGAAGACGCACACACGCGCGCGCACAACACACACACACACACACACACACACACACACACACACACATCACACACACACACACACACACACACACACACACACACACACACACACACACATACATATATAATATATATATATATATATATATATATATATATATATATATATATCATAGGTAGTAGGTTGGTAGACAGCAACCGCCCAGGGAGGTACTACCGTCCTGTCAAGTGAGTTTAAAACAGAAGCCTGTAATTGTTTTACATGATGATAGGATTGCTGGTGTCTTTTTTCTGTCTCATAAACATGCAAGATTTCAGGTACGTCTTGCTACTTCTACTTACACTTAGGTCACACTACACATACATAATACAAGCATGTATATGCACACCCCTCTGGGTTTTCTTCTATTTTCTTACTAGTTCTTGTTCTTGTTTATTTCTTTTTACCTCCATGGGGAAGTGGAACAGAATTCTTCCTCCGTAAGCCATGCGTGTTGTAAGAGGCGACTAAAATGCCGGGAGCAAGGGGCTAGTAACCCCATCTCCGGTATACGTATATTACTAAATTTAAAAAGATAAACTTTTTTTTTTTTAGGTCACTGCCTCGGTGGGATCCGGCCAGTTTGTTGAATACACACACATTTCGTAAACACAGTGAGAATTACTTTATATTTCAGTTTTATTTTTTGTCAAAAGAAAAAGCAGGCGAATAATTTGGCCAGTCGTGGAGACAAGAACTGTAAACACATATATTGACTCTGTGGAAGTCTTGCCCCAGTTAGACCCGGGTTGTCCTCCAAGTATGACAACATCCTTAACACACAACCTCACTCTCTGAGTGTTTATCTAGTTCCACACACCTGCTGGTTTATGTTGCTCACACGCACCTGCTGGTTTATGTTGCTCACACGCACTTGCTGGTTTATGTTGCTCACACGCACCTGCTGGTTTATGTTGCTCACACGCACCTGCTGGTTTATGTTGCTCACACGTATCTGTTGGTTTATGTTGCTCACACGCACCTGCTGGTTTACGTTGCTCACACGCACCTGCTGGTTTATGTTGCTCACACGACACTGCGGGTTTTTATGTTGCTCACACACACCTGCTGGTTTTTTGTTGCTCCACGAACCTGCTGGTTTATGTTGCTCAAAACAACCTGCTGGTTTATGTTGCTCACACGCACCTGCTGGTTTATGTTGCTCACATCTACTGGTTTATGTTGCTCACACGCACCTGCTGGTTTATGTTGCTCACACGCACCTGCTAGTTTACGTTGCTCACACGCACCTGCTGGTTTATGTTGCTCACACGCACCTGCTGGTTTATGTTGCTCACACACACCTGCTGGTTTATGTTGCTCACACGCACCTGCTGGTTTATGTTGCTCACACGCACCTGCTGGTTTATGTTGCTCACACGCACCTGCTGGTTTATGTTGCTCACATCTACTGGTTTATGTTGCTCACACGCACCTGCTGGTTTATGTTGCTCACATCTACTGGTTTATGTTGCTCACACGCACCTGCTGGTTTATGTTGCTCACACGCACCTGCTGGTTTATGTTGCTCACACGCACCTGCTGGTTTATGTTGCTCACACGCACCTGCTGGTTTATGTTGCTCACACGCACCTGCTGGTTTATGTTGCTCACACGCACCTGCTGGTTTATGTTGCTCACACGCACCTGCTGGTTTATATTACTCACACACGTGCTGGTTTACGTTGCTCACACACACCTGCTGGTTTACGTTGCTCACACACCTGCTGGTTTACGTTGCTCACACACCTGCTGGTTTACGTTGCTCACACACCTGCTGGTTTATGTTGCTCACACGCACCTGCTGGTTTATATTACTCACACACCTGCTGGTTTATATTACTCACACACCTGCTGGTTTACGTTGCTCACACGCACCTGCTGGTTTATATTACTCACACACCTGCTGGTTTATGTTGCTCACACACACCTGCTGGTTTACGTTGCTCACAGGGCACTGCTGGTTTATATTACTCACACACCTGCTGGTTTATGTTGCTCACACACACCTGCTGGTTTATGTTGCTCACACACACCTGCTGGTTTATGTTGCTCACACGCACCTGCTGGTTTATATTACTCACACACCTGCTGGTTTATATTACTCACACACCTGCTGGTTTACGTTGCTCACACGCACCTGCTGGTTTATATTACTCACACACCTGCTGGTTTATGTTGCTCACACACACCTGCTGGTTTATGTTGCTCACACACACCTGCTGGTTTATGTTGCTCACACGCACCTGCTGGTTTATGTTGCTCACACACACCTGCTGGTTTATGTTGCTCACACACACCTGCTGGTTTATGTTGCTCACACGCACCTGCTGGTTTATGTTGCTCACACGCACCTGCTGGTTTATGTTGCTCACACGCACCTGCTGGTTTATGTTGCTCACACACACCTGCTGGTTTATGTTGCCACACCACACCTGCTGTTTATGTTGCTCACACACACCTGCTGGTTTATGTTGCTCACACGCACCTGCTGGTTTATGTTGCTCACACGCACCTGCTGGTTTATGTTGCTCACACACACCTGCTGGTTTATGTGCTCACACACACCTGTGGTTTATGTTGCTCACACGCACCTGTGGTTTATGTTGCCACACACACCTACTGGTTTATGTTGCTCACACACACCTGCTGGTTTTGTTACTCACACCCCACCTGCTGGTTTATGTTGCTCACACGCCCCTGCTGGTTTATTTGCTCACACGCACTGCTGGTTTATGTTGCTCACACACACTGCTGGTTTTTTGTTGCTCACACACACCTGCTGGTTTATGTTCTCCACCACACCTGCTGGTTTATGTTGCTCACACACACCTGCTGGTTTATGTTGCTCACACGCACCTGCTGGTTTATGTTGCTCACACGCACCTGCTGGTTTATGTTGCTCACACACACCTGCTGGTTTATGTTGCTCACACGCACCTGCTGGTTTATGTTGCTTACACGCACCTGCTGGTTTATATTACTCACACACCTGCTGGTTTATATTACTCACACACCTGCTGGTTTATGTTGCTCACACGCACCTGCTGGTTTATATTACTCACACACCTGCTGGTTTATGTTGCTCACACGCACCTGCTGGTTTATATTGCTCACACGCACCTGCTGGTTTATGTTGCTCACATCTACTGGTTTATGTTGCTCATACGCACCTGCTGGTTTATATTGCTCACACGCACCTGCTGGTTTATATTGCTCACACGTATCTGTTGGTTTATGTTGCTCATACACACCTGCTGGTTTATATTGCTCACACGTATCTGTTGGTTTATGTTGCTCATACGCACCTGCTAGTTTGTATTGTCCACACTCCATTTGGTTTATATTGCCTACAGACACTTGCTGGTTTATATTGCCTACACACACCTGCTGGTTTATATTGTCTACACACACCTACTGGTTTATATTATCTATACACCTGCTGGTTTATATTGTCTACACACCTGCTGGTTTATATTGTCTACACACACCTGCTGGTTTATATTGTCTACACACCTACTGGTTTATATTGTCTACACACCTGCTGGTTTATATTGTCTACACACACCTGCTGGTTTATATTGTCTACACACACCTGCTGGTTTATATTGTCTACACACCTGCTGGTTTATATTGTCTACACACACCTGCTGGTTTATCTCACCTTCATTCTAGTTTATCCCTCAAACACCCTCTAGTCCATCTTCAGTCAAGAGTGTCACTATTTAGACTCACCAGGAGATCATAGTGCTTGGTGCTGATGGAGAGTCCTTCAGCTAGCGTCTTGTAGATGGGGAATCCTGGTCGAGGCACCAGAATATTCTGGCCAGGGGAGCAGAGAGCTGTGATGCAGAGGTCGAGGGCGCAGGAACAGCCTGAGCACAGCACGATGTCCTGTGGGAAACACACACGAATACTGTGATAACCTCTGTTGACGTTATTTTTTTTTTATTTATGCGATTGAACTATATGTTAAGAGTTGTTATCCGACCTCAGGTGTTTTCGAGGTCTTGGTCTATCTATGCTTGTATATCTAAGGATGCTGTTATTCTCTCTCAGCTCTTCTCAGTGTATCTCTAAGGTATGATAGCATCAAGGATGCTGTCATCTTATCTAAACTCCTCTCAAAGCCCATACCTATCTAAAGTATGCAGTTACCCTGACTGCTTAACACCCAGGTACCTAATTACTGCTGGGTGAAGTGTGACAGTAGTGAGGTGAAGTATTTACTCAACACCATCAACTAGGCGTTTGTGTTAGGGCAGTTTACTAGGAGAATAAACTAGCTACACTAGTGTTATGAGACCAGTGGTTACGTCAGAGGTGGTTGACGTCGGAGATGCACGAAATGACGTACATTATTGATGACGCCGCTGGTATCTAGAAGGTCATTAAAGGTCACTCCCCCCTCACTGTCTGGCAAGGACTACATCACACAGGTAGTGGGGTGGGGTACACAACGTAACACAGGTAGTGGGGTGGGGTACACAACGTAACACAGGTATTGGAGTGGATATGGACGACGTAACACGGGTAATGGAGTGAAAATTACCATGAAACACAGGTGGGGGTGGAATATGAACCACGTTACACAGGTGGGGGTGGAGGATGAACCATGTTACACAGGTGGGGGTGGAGGATGAACCATGTTACACAGGTGGGGTGGAGGATGAACCATGTTACACAGGTGGGGGTGGAAGATGAACCACGTTACACAGGTGGGGTGGAGGATGAACCATGTTACACAGGTGGGGGTGGAGGATGAACCACGTTACACAGGTGGGATGGAAGATAAACCACATTACACAGGTGGGGGTGGAAGATGAACCACGTTACACAGGTGGGATGGGAGATAAACCACATTACACAGGTGGGGGTGAGAAATGAACCACATTACACAGGTGGGGGTGGAAGATGAGCCACATTACACAGGTGGGGGTGGAAGATGAGCCACATTGCACAGGTGGGGGTGTACTAGGGGGTCTCTCAACAAGACTGTATAGAGCTCTACATAGAGCTAAAGTACTATGTACAGCTTTATAAAGCTCTGCACATAGCTTTATACACCTTTTTACACGGCGTATATTTTTTTCGTTATGTGGCGATATTCAGGTTTGATGCGAGGGAAGGGAGGGGTTAAATCTAGCTCACTTTCTCAGATCATTGAATCTCCACTAAAAGTTAGGTACAACTGAAAAGTTGAGAGAGAGAAAGATGGATGGATCATACTGGAGTTACTTCTTGGCTAAGGCCAGAGATGAAAGATGAGGACCTTTCTTTGGAAAACAGAAGGACGGTAGGAAGCTGGTAAGTGCAGGAACACGACAGCTGGTGTCAGGGAATGTTGTGTGTGTGTGTGTGTACCCACCTTAGCTTCCAGCTCAGCAACACCTGGCACAGAACAGTATCTGGCGACAGCCTCTCTCGCCTCCACATAACCTGCAAGCAAATGCCATATCACAAACATGTGTGGAAGGAAGAGCTTGGGACACCAGTTATGTGAGGGAAAAGTTCAATAGATAGGAGTAGCGAGGGAGTGTATAGTAACAATAGTTTCATTGCCGGCTACTTGTTAAGGTAGGTTAAGTCCTGCTCCGGCTATTCCCCCCCCCTTTTTTTCCCCTCCCCGAAAGTGATAGTTTGATTGCCGGCTGCTTGTTAAGGTAGGGTCAGTCTAGCTCCCGCTATCCCTTCCCCTCCCTCTTCCCCCCCCCGAAAGGTGACGTGTGGGGCTCCGGTAAAACAGTAAATCACTTGACTCACAGCTCCCAACACTACTGTAAGTACACGCCTGATCATATTTTAGTGGACTTATTGGTTGAAAGCTTCACTTTTGACCAATAATTAACTTAGTCCTTTCAGTCTTGATAGGTTAAAATGTTGTAATAATCACCACATCTTTTAGGTATTGTACTTACCATGGAGAGTGATTTCTTAAGCAGTGGGTAATCTGTCTCTCTTTACAGCTTGAAATGACAGAGAGGGTCACCTGCTAATCAACGAGTAGAATTGAAGGAGACGGACTAACGTTCTGAGACGTCCCAAATTGTTGATCCACTTACCTGTTTGTGTATGCAAGTAGCGGGAAATTATAACCCCTCATCATTGCAGTGGAAAAAAACCTGCTTTCCTGTCATCTGGACGGATTATTGACGGCTAGAAAATCTGTGAAGAACGAGCCGGTGGGTTGTCGTCAACACCTGCGACCCCCCCTCCCCCCCTCCCCCCCTCCCCCCAACATCAGCAACGGCTACGATTTCAACAACACGCAGTGTCACCAACACCAGACACCCACGTTTTATATAGATATATTAGCGTTGAATTCAGTTATCATTTATATTTTTCATTTTTCATTTTCTTTAATGTAGGATTAATATTTCATATTTAAGTGTTTTATATTTTCTATATAATAAAGTGTTTATGTTTGTCTGTTATTATTTCTTTTTCTATTCATTAATTTTCCTGAGGAGGAGCCAGCCTTGGTAATACTGACTGAAGTTGTTACAGGGCTGAGTAAGTCTCCACAAGTTACATATCTTTACTGCAAAACATTTCGCCGACACACTAGACCTCCAGTCGAATACAGAGTTGACGAATATGGAAAAAGAAGACAGAGTGGAGATGGAGTGATCAATCCATCATCATCCTTCAGGTTGTAGTCGTTTGAGGTGGTCAGATTAACTCATCTTTTGTATATAGTTCTACTGTCTTCCAAATTATATCCTGGAATTTGTATTGATAAAACCACTGGATGGCGAAACGTCTACAGTAAAGATACCCAGATGTTGCACATGTGTCTTAATCTTCATTTTGTCGGTATTGTATACCATTGTGAAGTTTGATACCGTCGTTATAAGGCTTTTCTTCTAATTATTTTTTTTTTTGGGGGGGTGGGTGAGACGTGTAGTGTGGGGTGTGTTGTGATGCCCAGATGCAGCACACTGGATGCGCGAGGTGCGTCCTACAGTAAAGTTTAATGGCAGGAGTAGCGGCACTGTAGTGAAAGCGAGGCCTCGCTTCTGTGTGTGCCACCTGTTAGATAACCAGCTGTCCAGGTGGTGCGAAGGGAGGTGGTTTCCAGGTGGTGCATGGGGGGTGTAGCTGTAGTTACTAGTTGTCATATGCACTTGTCGATAGACACTTGGCCTGGAGGTGGTTTTTTGTGAGTGTACTCGCCTAATTGTAGTTGCAGGGTTCGAGTTATAGCTCCTGGTCCCGCCCTTTCATTTGGTCGTATGTGTGTGTGTGTGTAATAAGTTATCACTGTGTCGGTAATGGAACATTATTATTTCATGTAAAGTAAAAGGACACAACTGCAACTAATGTGACATTTTATTGTGGCAACGTTTCGCTCTCCAGGAGGTTTGTCAAGCTTTTTCTTATGTTAACATAAGAACATAGTATGGTAAGCAGCAACCTTAAACCAAGACAGCAATGCCTAAGCATACGTAATAAGGTAAACAGATTACTGGGATTTATATCAAGCGAATGTCATTTAAGGGTCTTCAATCTTTCTTCATACGGAAGATTTCTAATGCAATGAATTAATTTGTCATTCATCGCTGAATGTTTTCTAATGAAATTTATATCCATTCTGTAAAATGGAGACCAGAACTGAGCTGCATAACCTAGGTGAGACCTTACTAATGATGTATAAAGCTGTAATATAACCGCTGGACTTCTGTTGCTTACATTTCTTGATATAAATCCCAGTAATCTATTTGCCTTATTACGTACGCTTAGGCATTGCTGTCTTGTACAAAAATGGTTTTACAATACCGATAAGATGAACACTGAGGACACATGTGCAACATCTGGGTATCTTTATTGTAGACGTTTCGCCATCCAGTGGCTTTATCAAATACAGATTCTACGACATAATTTGAAGACAGTAGAACTATATACAAAAATGAGGTAATCAGTCTCTTAGTCTTGGAGTTGGTGTGAAGATCACCGTAGTCGTGAAGATTCTTCTCGACTACGGTGCTCTAAACACCGTGGTCATTGAAGGTTGCTGTTGTTTAAGGTTGCTGCTTACCATAACTCCCCGAGTCCTTTTTGCATTCTGTACGGCTAAATTCAACATTAAGCTGTGATGAATGGTTTTGAAAAGTTTCTCAATTATTAAGCTGGTAGGTGCTAGGGTTATGAAAATTCTCGAGCAGAGCTTTACATTTATCTACATTGAACTGTCTTGACTACAGAGACGCTTAGAGGTAGGTAGTTGCATGACGCAAACATCGGCCGGATCTGGGCGCCAGGGAGGTGGTGGATGATACCCAGCAACAGGAAGGTCACAACTCTTCTCAAGGAGTAGTTGTATTGGCAGCAGCTTCCGCCCAGCAGCCCAAAACGAACGAATCCAGGAGTAGTCCGTGAAGAGAGTTGGATCTTGTGTCATGGTTGCCAATATCCGTCTTCTCAGTGGGGTACCTTGCAGCCGGTGCAGAATCGTGGCTACTTTGCCACGATTCTGCACCGGGCCTCAAATCTGAGACATACTATGTTGGTCCAAATGGTACGTATGTATAATGTTCGCCAAGACCAGGGCCCTGGCACGGGTCTTAATCTTGAGATGACCCGTCTCTGGCTCCTGAAGGAGAATTGATTCTTCACTGTTGCAGCATATAAGCGTTTGGAATTTCACTATTCTTTCAAGCACTGTTCCAGACAGTTCAGCTAGTGTGCCTCATAAGCGACCGAAGTTACTCCATCTCAGCTGTTTCCTGAGCTGGGGACTGGGCTCTGTCCTCTCTGATAATCTGCGGATTCATGGCATCCACTGCTTCCTGCTCTGTCAGTAAGCACACCCTCAGGAGTGTGCTGACCATCTGCCAGAACATGCTCTGTTGTTCCGTGGAGGTGATTGTGTTGCAGATAATATCCGTGAATGCCTTGATGAGTGTTAAGAGATCCTCTCTGTTGAGGGCTGCGTTGTCGGTGGGTTCGAAGCATGGACATTATCTGGGCTGTCGTAATCTGTGGGGACTGCTGAGGGTTGTATTTCTTCCACTGTGCACACCGTGGGCTGTTGCTGTATGCCAGTTGTGTACCTGGCATCTGCTGGTGAGGTGCAGCCACAGCCTATGTGCATAGTGGTTGTGTCGGCAAGGAGGCCGGTGGGGGCTCTTGTAGTGTCGTCTGCTGATTGCGTTGCCAGATGTTTCCTGTTGGCGCCGCTTGTTCCTCATGTTTTTGTTTCTTCGTTGCGGTAGTGGGGGAGGATGCTCCTGTTCATGTCGCCTGGTTGAGTTTTCAAGGGTCGGAAATTCCTGGGCATTGAGTTGGGATGATTGATGAGAGTTCTGCAGTATGGCAGGATTCTCTGCACCCATCGTCTGCTGAGGGTGATGCTCTGCCGTAGCCTGCTGTCTCGTTGTTGGCGTCTTCCCAGGCCTCACGAATTCTAGTGAGCCTCTCAGGGCATCGAGGGTTCCAGGCATGGTGTTTCTGCCTGCAATTCGGGCATCGTGGAGTGGGTGGCGATGCATTCTTCAGCTTGGTGATGCATTCCTCGGTAGGGTGGGGCTGGCTGGCAGACACCGCAGATTACTTTGTTCGGACAGAGTGCACCCAGGGTGTCCGTAACGCTGGCACTTGAAACAGCGAACTGGTTCTGCCGTGAAGGTCCTGACATCGTACCTGCCCCAAGAACCAAGGTCCAGCTGGAATGGCAGCGGTCCTACATGCTGAATGAGGACCTGCCGGGTTGGTGCATTGCCTGCCGATTTTGCCTTGAGATGCTGAGCTGACACGACACTGGGGTGAGCTGCTACTGCCTCGATGGGCATCATCAGCGGGTATCGCTTCACTACACCCTTGGTGACCTTCTGCCGAGAATCCAGTTCCTCCAGGGTGAAGGAGCGGTCTGTCTCCATGACTTTCTTCAAGGTGATATGCATTTCCATGTTGATAGGAGTCAGTATTGGTTCTCCCCTCAGGTTGAACCATATCTTGAACCTCAGTTTGTGCCCGTGTTTCCAGGTGCGTAACCACGCCATAGTGGGTTTGTTTGTTCCCCATAAGCCTTTAACCTAAATCTGGAAGGTGATTTGAGCTGGTTTACCTGCTCCTGGAGGACGGCGTGTCTTACTGTTCACATTAATCCATCCTTCGTATTCTCTGGCGCATGGTTAGGCTTGTCAGAACTGTGGAGACTTTTCCTCTGATGACACGGAGTTGGTCTTGCAACTTCTTCGCTAGGATTGCGCCCCACATTTCTAAATCCGAGTCGTCCATTTCTAAATCCGAGTCATCCGTCGTGTCCCTGGAACATCGTGACCTCTTCCTTTCGGCAGAAGCCATGTGTCTGTCCACGTGGTGCTGGACTGTGATGCTGAAGTGTGCTGTTCTGCTCTGCTAATGTAATCTATGCGTCTGCTGCCTTGGCACTGATGATCTCTATGTCCAAATGGTACAGCACAGGAGTGGCTTATATA